TTTTTTTTTTTTAATGTGCATCTTTTAGTTTTGCTTTTTTGTGATTGGTGGAAGAGCTAACCTTGCCTATCAGTGCATGAGTGGCTTCCTCATTGCAAAAGGAAAGATCTCCTGTATGAAACAGGCCATGCTTGTTGCCTTCAATGAGAGAGTTTCATAAATTGGAGATACAGACTACTGTTCCCTGACACTGACAAATGTTTGAACATTATATCAAGGAATAACAGGGCACACATCTATATGCTTTGGCAATCTAGCTAGTAACTCGTACAGCACAGAACTGCCCCAGTGCCTTTAACGCACCATACCAAACACCTCCATCAATTATTCATATCTTTTCTCTTTGACATCTCATTTCAGCAGTGTGAAGAAGAAGACTGATTGCATGCTCATTTAGCTAATAGAGAGTACTAGTCATTTTCAGTTCATCCTACATCTCATTAATGCTTTACTTCCATTACCTTCTCTCGAGGTAGCTTGCTGACTTAAGCCTCAAAGGAAATAAGGGGTTGAAGTGATCTTGTCAGTGCCATATACCTATATTAAATGCATCGTATTGAACATATTTTTAACATAACATATATATTTAACAATGCATTCCAAAAATTGACTTATGTCAGGGTTCTCTTTACACGGCCAAAATGTGCCTAAATTTCAAAAATAGACACCCATGCACTGACTGAATTGGGAGGGGCGGCAGTAGGCTTACAATGATCTTAGTCTAATACTCTTCATTTATTCTTCATTTACTGTTTCCTAATCACAGATGCCATGCCTCCCACACTGTCAGGCCACCTCCTTTTACACACACACACACATCGCACTTGGCAAAATGAGTGCTACTGAGTGAAATTGGAAATAAGACTAGGACTGATGCAAAATGTGTGTTTTGTTTTTTTTTAATTTATTTTTTAATTTTATTTTTTTTCCTGTTTTAGATAATGAAAGGGTAGTGGAGCTGCTACAGGCAATTAAAGAAAAGACTGTGACCTTGGATACCATCAGACATGCTCCACATCCACTGTGTAAAAGTCCTCCAACTCAGATCTCTAGTAAGTTACGTGCTAATGAACATAAACACACACAACTTGTCATCCCTGAAGTAATGTTAAAGTGGTGCTAATCTGTGTAATGCAAATGAAGAGGGGTTATAATTGGGGTCGTGAATGTGAAGATGTAAAGTAACAACAGTTTCTCATTGCATTGTAATATTGTGGATCTTGACCTCATCAGCACTAACATATGTTTAAATGATTGTAGATCCTGCATTCTCCCAGCCTCCCTCTGAACCAGAGGAGCACCACAGTGTCAGACCACGCAGCCCCTCCTCACATTGCCCAACATCCCCCAATGGGCATCCAAAACCCCTTGGGGACACATTAAGACCAAAGGCACCCCCTTCTCCAGCTGTCTACCCAGACAAGGCCCGGGGGCCCAGTGAGGGACCGATCTCAAAGAGGAGCTCCAGCCTGCTTAACAGCTTGAGGCCCCCACTCCCCCTGCAGGCTAAAGAAGGTCATCACAGCATCAATGGACGCACACAACCACGGGACTTCGCCCCAGAGGAATTTGCCCAGCAGTTCCACGAATCTGTGCTACAGTCCACTCTGCAGAAACATAAAGGTAAACAGCTCAAAATAAGGTCTAATAGGCATCTTTGGAAAGGTGAATACATGGAGAGCAGGCCAACATAACTTTTGGAGAGACTATCAAATATGAAGAAATGATGGAAAATATCCCTATGTGTAAAATATGAAATTGATGAAATGTAACATCTCTTTCTTCTCCTCAATATTTGTCCATTAGGTGGAGCCGCAGGGGTGTCAGAGTCATCCCACCTCCAGGAGTCCTCTGTTCACTACAACATTCCCGAGCTTCAGGGCCCTCCTGGCCGACCACCACAGCCACATTCACAGTCCCACTCAACTCCACAGTCATTTCCACATCCACTTTTGCACTCTCACCCTCAGCCCAACGGGCAGCACCTCTCGATGCCTCAGCACAGGGAGGCATCGGGGATGAGGGAGGACATGTCTGGTCCAGAGGACTCTGAAGAGGAAGACGAGGAGGAGGAAGAAGAGGCTTCAGTTTTCAAGTGGCAGGGGATTGAATCTATATTTGAAGCTTATCAGGAATATGTGGAAGGTAAGTAGCTGAGGTGCCTGTGTATTACATGGACTGATATTAGATCACTTTACATACATAAACAGCTTTAACAGTCCCTCTGTTATTATCACTGTATAATTTTATGAGGGATTAGAGGTTTTCTTTATTCTTTGGAATATATACTGAGATTACTGATTGTGCACAAATACATATTATTTTGCATACGTCATTGATTTATCCCCTAAATCAGAATTACTTGTTTTAGATCCAACTATACATTTTTGCCATCATTGAGCATGATCTACAAATATGCAAATTGGCCCCGCCTTCACCTTTTAGCTCTTTGCCTGCAGCGAGGCCCTACTTTCCCATTTACTCCTGTGAACCCCACTCAACTACGCATTCTCCTGCTAGATGTAAAGAGACACAGTGCTAATATTCAGTGAAGAAAAAGAAAAACACACTGCTTAAACTTGTAAATCTGAATGTGTGGAGCACTTTGTTCCAGCAGGTCATGAAAAAAAGTCACAAAAAGCTTAAAAACACCCACAATACATTGGGTAATCAATCGCATATATCAAAAATAAAACACTGAAAGTAAGGTAACTAACTGTAGTCAACATCTGTAGTTTCTATAAATAAATTATGTCATATAAATACATTTCTGGATGGAAAAACGACAGTAGAAATAAAGAATATTAAAGGCAACCACACATTTCTGGTTTATTGCCACTGCACATGCTTGGGAAAAGTAAATAAAACAGGTAATAATAATGAAATAATGATTTATGAAGTTTGAAAGAGTTGTCACATTATTTCTGTAATGTTCTGTGTTTTCGTGTCACTTCCTTATGAGTATAATGTATATCCTATTTTAAGTTGTTGTAGCATTCTGTCACCACTAGAGGGTAGTAGTCATTGTTCATTTTACACAATTCAATTTGTATTTAGTATTTGTACAAGAAAATTAGTGAAAAATGGTTGAGTTGATCTCTAATTACTCCCAGTCTCACATTCACAGCCTGCCACTAGTGTATTTTAAGACCTTTAACAATGAAGGCAGGAGCCTGAAGACATTTGCAGCAGATTATCCTGCATCTATTTAGATGGTCCAAATTCTGCTAATCCTGTTTTTCTTCATTTTCTCTTATTCCCTTTTCTGATCCAGAGCAAACTTTGGAGCGACAAGTACTGCAGAGCCAGTGTCGAAGACTAGAAGCTCAGAACTACAACCTTAGTCTAACTGCTGAGCAGCTGTCTCATACCATGGGGGTAAGACAAGCATACGGAGCCACTTAAGCTGAGGCCAGGAAGTCAAAATATTTACTACATAACTGCAAGTGACTTAGCAGCGGCGCTCTGCTAAGAAATTATGAGCATGTATAATAGGAGTGGGTGCACAACTTTACTTATTTTCGTAGATCAGTGGTTTCATAAATAGCAGAGCAAAGTAAAAACTTATACTTTACACTATTGGCCTCTTCTGATTAATCACTGGAATCCAGACAGCTTTTCTTTATTACACTCATATTATTGCTTTTCTGTTTTTCACTTATCTTTGTAAATATTGTTATATATAGCACAGGTTTGCCTTCTCATGAAGATCACTGTGAATTTAAAAAAATAAATATATATATTCTTATATATTTTTAATGTCCTTGGTTACCTAGGAGCTGATGTCCCAAAGACAGAAGCTGGCAGTGGAAAGAGAGAAGCTACAAGCAGAAATGGAACACTTCAGGAAGTGTTTGACGCTGCCACAGACACACTGGCCAAGAGCCGGCCATTATAAAGGTTACCCTCCGAGGTGACCATGACGCTGATTTTGATAGCCCTTGGGCCCCAGCCTCCTCCCCTTTCAGACTGACTCCCAGAGTTTATTTTTAATGGCCTGGTCCTCATAGCTCCATGGAGGATAATACGGCTGGCTAGATACGATGAATGAATGAATGGAGTGAATGGATGGATAGATAGATAGGTGAATGCAGAGGAGACCGGACCATTCAGTGAAGTACAGGCAGTCTTTGGATTATGGGTCAACAGGGACTGCACCACAAGCCACTAATGTGTGCCAATGTAGCCAACTCCAAGATCAGTGAGTGTATGGGGCAGAAAAACCTGAAGATCAACATGACACCTGCTTTTCATTCTTCAGTCCCTGCTGCGCTATTGTTCAGTCCCTGCATCCCTCACCGCCACAGCTACACAGACAATCCTGCCAATGAGGGAGCAGCTACCCCCAGAGGGGGGTGTCGTTACAAGACTTGAAAGCTCCAAATCTCCAAATGAAGACCTTTGGTCATTTGGGACTGATTTATTTTCTTTTTTCCTTTTATTTTGTGGCCACATGAGCTTTTGAACTGGAAATGCACTTAATAAAAGCTGAAGAACTACCTGGTGGTACTGTGTTACAACAAAGAACTGTTCAAATTAGGGAAGAACTTAGAAAATGCACATTTTTGGAAAGAATTAAGTAAATGTTTTATTTCGAAATAGAAAATTTCAAAATAAGAATTTTAAAAGGTGCTTAAGCCTTGTATTGTATATAATATGAAGACTTAAAAAGAATTTTGTATGTTTTTATTACTTTAATCATTGTTCTTTTAAAAGAAAAAGCCTGCCATTTTATATGTTTATGCTTTTTGGGTTGAAAAAAAAGAAAGCCTTGCTTTTAGTGTTTGTACTGCTGCTGGCTAGAACAGCTTGTTTTGAGACATTTAGCAGAGTGAGAGGAAGCAGGATGCACTCCTCTTATTCTGTCCCGGCACTGCGCAGCTGAGACCCCAGCCACAGCCACCTTATCTGGCCTCTGAGCTCAGCAAAGCTTACTTAGAGGTCCTGAGATGTGGCTCATGCCCTCCACTCCCCCTTCATTCACAGCAGTGTGTCTCTGTTTTAATGCCCATTTCATCAGCTCCTCCCAGTCAGCTTTACTGTTGCTGGCATGACCAGTTAAGTACTCATGCAGAAACCAGATCCACAGCCACTTTTTTTTTTTTAAACTTGATTTTCTTGATTATTGTAAGACATTTTCTTACACAGCCAGCAGATAAATCTTGCTTTATCCTGTTTTTGGACCTTCACTTTACTTTGTATGACGCATAGCATTGAACTCAAACACACGATATGACGGTTTGCGGTATGCCTTACAAGATCAAGCCCCTGTCAGCAGCCATGAGACGAAATGGTGCCAAAATAATGATAAAACTATAGCATAGTAAATTATTAGTTGCAGTTGGGTAGCCAAACATACAAACCAGAATGGCCATCTTATACTGCTGAATATGTTTGACATAACATCATCTACTCTTTGCATTTCTCTATTTTTAGGACGCTCTCCACCCACACAAAGTTGCCAAGATGTCCTAGAAACCAGACAGGACGCTTAACTGAGCAGCTCCTGGTACATTTAAAATCAGAAAGGTTTGCTTTACCTTGGATATCTGTTTACAACCTCCATCTGCCCCCCATCTTCCTAATGAGATTTGGCTCGTATTACAGTGACTTTCTACCCTGTAATTCATCTTGTCTCCACCTTATGGTTCTATGTGCACTTGGAGACCTCAGACACAGTGAAATGAGGTGTCTAGGTCATCGTTTGACTTGTGTGGTGGTGGGATGTTTGATGTGAGTGGGTTAAGGATTTCAGTATTTGCAAATAAAAACTTTAAAAATGTACCAATATTTAATTTATTTTTTAAAAAAAGTACTGAAGCACAACTTACCCCCTTACATACACTTTTTTACAAGTGCCTCAAGAATTTGGGAGCATGTGAATGAGTTTCCGTCTACAGGACAGACATTACATGACATAACATCAGTGATCAGGGACTTTGCATATTACATCCAAGTGTCTACTGTATGTCATACCTTTCAAATATGTACAAGTCACCAACAGATACCAAGTTTCTTTCATCCAAATGAGTCACAAGACAATTTTTTTTATATATAAATGACACGTAAGCCAGTTTAGAGGAATACAGAGTGTAGTCAGATTTTTTTTTTTTTTTACAAAGAAGAAAGCCAACAGCGTAACCTATCTGTAAGTGAAGGAGCATGCATGCTGAGGTAAGCTGCCATTGAGCTGGGGAGGAAGGTGCAGTGTGGTAAGCCTCTCTTGCTCAGCCTCCCCGTGTCTCCAACCCACGCACGCTCATGCAATAGCCCCATTACTCAGTGGAGGATGTCTAGATGCTGTGAAATCCTGTTTTTAAAATGTACTTGTTTGAATTCATTGTAATGTAATATATTCTTTGTTGAATGTAGTAATTAGGTATTTATGAATATATGGCTGTGATTTCAGACAAAAAAGAAAATAAAATATTTCAAAAATGTTAAATATCAACCTTTGTCTCTTTGTGGGTTCTGGTTTAACAGCTGGACATTTTGCTCTGGAGATTAGGAAACCGATTCATTTTCGGTGCAATCCTGTGAACAATATCAACCAATATTATCAATCTTTAGAATAAAATGCAACAAGAGTTGAGTGGAATTCCTTTTAATGTGGGTTTTTCCCCCACCTACATACATTTTAGGAAGGAATTGTTTAGTTTACCAATGTTTGACAGAAACCACATTCATTCTAGTAAACCAGAAAACATCTTTTTTAATCACTAACACAACAACAAGATCAAAAATCACAATAAGACTGATTAAAAATTTTGAGGAAAACAAGTATACATGTATATACTCTGTTTACATGCACATACATACATTTTGAAACCTAATGACAACATGAACAAATGATACACTAACTGCAAACAGCAGATTCACACAAATCAGACCGGAGAGCAACATGATAACTTAAATAGTTGAGTAAATCTCTTCACTTTTCCAGAAAACTGTCTTTAATGTTAGGTTTAACCCCAGTCTTGCTAAATCCAACCCTTTTTAGCAAGCCTTGTGTGTGTTCGAGCTTTTTTACCAGTAGTCCATGAACTGCCCTTCACTGCAAGTTGGACCGTAGCTTGTACATACAGTTGAGAGTATCAAGAAGAAACGCTCGTATGGTGTTGATCTCCATCAGAGTAAGGTTGTCCAGCTGTGGACAGAAAGAGGAATTAGGTATATTCAAAGATTTAAAATAACATTGTTAGTCTGTGACACAGTAGGTAACTCAATGATAAACAGGTGAAAGTTCATTGTGAGCCAAAAGGTTTTTCTTCTATACTGTCAGCCCTCAACCACATGAATCTGCAGGTCATCAGAAAGAATGCAAGTGTAAGACATTTCCACATTAGCTTTACCGTACTTTTAAGACAGTGTGAGGAAAACACCTAAAGTGGGAGTGTAGCTGTTAAGAAAACACATTATGGAACACTTAAATCAGATTCTACATTACCTATAGATAACATTTACTGAATGCTTATATACAGCCAATTAAATTGGGGGAACTTAAGGTGATGCCACTTTTTCTAAAGGATCTCAATATGCAATGGGTCCACAACTTGAAGGGATAATGAATAAATGTCACACTGTCCTTTTATGTGGAACTGGTAATTCTGTTATTATGCTGTTGAATTTGTACTTACTTTGCATCTGTTTTCAACTCAATTAAATGTTCAAAACTCAATGGTTAAGTGACAGCAGAGAATACTAAACACCCTACATGTGGTCAGTTTTACCTTGGCATAAGCTTCCTGCTGACTGACGAAACTGTCAGCAGACAAGCGGAGCTTGGCAATGCGAGTATCCCAGATGTCTTTGACCAGTGTACGGATCTCATCTGCTTTAGGAATGTTGTCAGACGCGCTGCAGAAACACAGAAACCTCTCTTTTAAGGGGAGGGGGCACATACACCAAGCACACAACAGTACTGAGGGCTGTATTTCTGTGGATTACTTAATTGTATATGACTCACTGGTTTAGTAGCAGCTTGGTAAGCTCCATGTAGTAAGGACTAGGAACAGGTGTAAACATATCCTCTTTTCTCTCAAGGTCTCGCATCTCCTCCAGTTTCTCTGCACAGTGAAGGAAAATGTCAACAGCAGCAAACTGCAGCGACACACAAAAATGCTGAAAGATTTTCAAGATTCCTCTTTTCTGCTGACTTTTGTAGGAGAAGTAAAACAGAAATTCCAAATAAAACCACCAATGAATTTATTCTTTTCAGCATTTTCCATATGGAAAAGAAATATTAAAAACTTATATGATTTACTCATGAAAGTGGCCACTTTCTCATTACTTTCATATATTGTTTTAGTAAGTATCCAAAACATACAAGTTTCATTATATAATTTTTCAAGGGATCTTATATCTGTTTTCACTCTTATATGCTTTTCATACAAGTTTCACACAAGACAGATACAAACTTTATAAGATTTATATTTATCTTTTCCATATGGGTTCTTACAGCATACAGACCAACAACGACATACACATATTTTACACATTTTGTATTTGTAATGAACACAAAATCTGAATAATTTGCCTCTTACAACTAAGAAAACAATCTTACTGCATTTCATGTGCCCATTTTTGTTTTACTTATCTAATGCAAATTTGGAAAAATAGTTTAGCACTACTTACATGTCAAAGTTATGGCAAGGCAGGTCTAGGCTTAACATGGCATGCCAGTAATGATTACATATGTCATAATGTGAAGGAAAAAATACTCAAAATACTGAAAGACCCTCATCTGAAACATTTTTAAGTAATCCTCTCAGTTCATGCCTGGAAACAAACGCCTGCAAAGACCGCATCAGGAAAAACTTTGAACTTTACCAACATCCATCCACTCAGGAGGAATAATTCTACACTTCTGTCTCTGTTTTAGGTTTAGAGCCAGCCACACGGGAACATCAATAGGTAGTCCAGGGTTGAAGGGACCCAGATCTCCCTGAGAACACAAATACACATATTTTATTGTGCAGCACAATGCATTCCCCACTTCAGTGAAGTTGGAAAGATACACATTTGCACTTTCATGATTAATAAAAAACATTGCTAGAAGATAAACAATGTCTCTTTCTAACAGCAGCAACTACAAGTTACAGTCTGATTTACATCAAACGAGCCATCCTGAGAGCTTGATGAATAACACAGGCTCTCTTGTGCAGCCAACTATGTAAAAAAATACCAAAAAATATTCCATGACTTTAGTAAGTAAAGAAAGTAAGTAAAAGTTTATTTATATAGCACCTTTCAAGATAAAATCACAAAGTGCTTCGCAGAAGTTGAAACATAAAAACAAAAATCAACCAAAAGCAAGTTTAAAAAGATGAGTTTTTAGCTGTTTTTTTTTTTTATTTATTTATTTCAAAAACCACTGAGTCCGCAGATCTCAAGCTCAAAGGGAGCTTGAGACAGTACAGTGTACTGTCATTAAATTCACATCATGCTGCGGGGGGATCTTGTTAGCTGTTATTTATTTTTAAAATTTAAAAAGAAAAAAAAGGGGGTTTGGAAAATGAGTGTATGAGATTTTAGAGAATTATTGAACAATAATTCTCTAAAATCTCACACACTCTCATGGTGGCTCCAAAAATCGCGCATTCATGTGTTGACTGTCAAGTCTGCTTTGTTTATATAACAGATTAGACCCAAAGTGTTTTACAGACAGGCACAGTTACATTCCAAGTTTCCCAAAAAATAAAATAATCCAAAACAAACAAACAAACAAACAAACAAACAAACAAAATACATAAAGCTGAAAAGTGTGTTTTATTGCAGTGCTGAGCCTGTATTTACTTGATCAATAATAAAAACTGCAGTATAATATAGCAATAATAGTTCGGGGTACTTTTTGAAAGGCCAAAGATACGGTACCGAATATTATTGGAGCTTCAATTTTTTCGAAATATATTTAGACAGATTTTATTTTAGCTGGAGCGACTTATATTTATGTAAATGGATGGTAGTTCGTTAAAGTCTGGAGTTTGAGAGATGAGGCTTTTTTTGTGCGTGTTTTAATCAGTCACTGAGTGAAGTGATCCACTCAAACAGAAACATCTTTACATACATACATACATACATACCTCCAGCTTTAAACTGAGTGTGTCGTGATATAATACAAGGTTTTAGCCCAAGGTTTAGCTAATATTGCTACAGTAACTGTCAACGTCTCAGTATCTGGTCAAAAACCAGCTACTTAAATACAGACACAACTGACTTACCCCGATTAAAAAGACTTTATCTAGGCTGAAATTTGGTATTATCTTCACCATCTCTTTCTCCGCAAGGAACTCGACCTCCGAAGCATCCATATCTGTTTGGTTTTTGTGTGTGTTCAAAAACTTCCGTCCCACTCGAACTGCACTACAAACCGTTCCCGCGCTGAAGGCAGCATTAACCGACAATGAAGTCAAGAAAAAGACAACTACGTCATCAACAGGAAGCGCAGTATCGCAAAAGTGAACATTATTGTGTGCCGTATTACGGCACGTCACATTTTTATTTTTCTGTATAATTTCTCGAATCTCGGTGTTAATTGCATTTTTAAAATTGTTAATTTACGTGTGAGATGCGGGCCTGGCCGTGACGAAGCTGACCATACCTTAAATTTTAATTTAGCATTGTCTGGCCCGGAAGAAGGAAGTGGGCCATGTGAGTGACAACAGTTGCAACTAAACTCCACCAGATGGCAGCATTCACCAGGCAATAACAAGAAAGGTGGCAGTGACCTTTTACATGTGAGAACAAAGTTAGATGTTTTTGAACCCATTAGAATCGTGGGTGAGGAGGCTGAATCAGTGGACAGCTAACAACAGATACTTGGTGTTCAGTGACAGACTGTACTGAAGAACCTACAGCGATGCTGTGTACAAGAAGGGGATCAACTGATTACTTTCTGATGAGGTCAGATCCTTCAGTGTGTTCAGCAAGATGTTGAAGAACTTCTGCTGGTCTGTGCCAGCATCCAGGCCAGTGATGACATTAGGATCATCAGTCTATCTGGAGGCATTTGGGTCAGTGAGAGACAGGAGGTCACTGAATATCATGGACAACCCGTCACACCTGCTCCTTTCTACACTACGGAGCTCATTCTCCCTCAGACTTATTCAACCTTGTTGCCATAAAGAACCATTCTTGCATTACCACTCTGCAGAATTCTGTTTTACATAACCTCAGTCTTATTATGTTTTCTATTTCATTCATTTTTTATCACAGTTTTACATGCATTTTCACTGCCTCATATTTTACGGCCTTTGGTGTTTTCCTGTAGTAGTTTTTAAAAATGTTTCTGTTGTCTGTTATACTGTTTTTATTTTTATTCCTTCTGATGCTGAAGTAATTTGCCTTTCGGGATCAATAACCCCATCCAAAGGATTCTTCCTGGTTGTACAAACGCTCTCACAACATTCACACCACACATCTCAAATAAATTTGCCAAGATAAAACGAACAAAGATTGACAGAAGACACCTCAATCTATTATTTAAAACAGCAATGAAACTTCTTCATAAATCCAAACCATTTATTTTAATAGCATCTGCTCTCAAATCCACTTCAAATATTTCCTGTCAGTGGACTGTGCTTGAGGTATTTCTGCAGAAATGCACCCATGCTGTAGTTAGACAGAATTAGTTTCAGTTCATTTATCGTGCACTGATAGAAGAAGTACTTATCTTTACTGAAACTAGAATACTACATTCACAATTTAAACCACTTTCACATCTCTAACATCTCTGTTTTAATTCCATTTTTTATTTTGTTTATTACTATTGCTTATTTATTTTTGCTGATATGGCAGCGTGCAAGTAGCATGTAAGGTGTAACTAGTCAATGTAGGGACCATTTTATTAGCTTTTTATACATTTAAAAATAATGTAAGTTGCTGTCAGATTTCTGTTGTCTCACTTAATGTGCTGGAGTAGAAAGCAGCATAAAATGAATATGGATATTAGGAAAATATACAGTGTCATTTGTTTAAAAACTTCCATGAGTTCTTCCCAGATACGGCCACACTGTCATTTAGTTTTCATTTGACAAGAATTACATTATGCAGAGTATGGGAGACTGAAGCTATAGATTAGAATGGTCACAAAGCATGAAATAATCTGTAGACACGTGCGAATATGAACTTTGCACCACTAAATTATTAAAAAACCGCAGCTACTACAACCATTCATGACCTCTAGCACTCTGAGGTTAGCCGACAGTGTTTATTGGCTGTACCTTGGTCCAGGTTAAAGACAAAAGGTGATTGTGGCTCCCAAGTTATGGAAATCGCTTCCACTGGATCTAAAGTCTGTGGACTGATTGATATCTTTAAAAATAAACTTAAGACCCATATATGCAGGATTGCTTTTATTTTGTTTTTTAATATACCATTTTATTTGCATCTTATTCAGTGCTGTAAAGCACTCTGTGTATTTTGTTCTTGAACAAAACTATTTAAAAAACCTTAATTCAACAGGCTGCTGCTAAACCATACAAAACCCCCCCAAAGCTGGGCAGTGATTATTCTAAAAGTGATTTTAGACTTTTTTTTAAATTGTCATGGCAGAGATGCAGTCATGTGAAGAAGAAAGCTTTCACATGACTCTGCTTGTAGAATCACCGTAAGAGCAGTAACTTGAAGTGCTTGCTTTGCGTATGAGTTTATCAGTCGCTCACAGCGTGGAGGAACTTTGATCCATTGTTTTTTGTAACGCCGCTTCAGTTCATTGAGGTTTGTGGATATTTGTTTATGCACAGTTCTCTTAAGGTCCAGCCACAGCATTTCAATGAGGTTGAGGTCTAGACTTTAACTGGACCACTGCAACATCTTGATTCTTTTCTTTTTCAGATGTTTTCTTGTAGATTTGCTGCTGTGCTGTGGATTCTTGTCCTGTTCCTTGACCCAGTTTTGATCAAGCTCTCAGAAAGATGGCCTCAGATACAGACGGTTTCATGGTCAGTTCAGTAACTGCCAAGGTGCCCAGGTCATGTGGCTGCAAAACAAGCCTAAATCATCACCCCTCTTCCATTACGCAACTGTTGGTATGAGGTGTTTGTGCTTATATGCTGTTTGTGTTTTCAGTTTGTTTTCTGTGTTTGTGTCCAGTGGACTTTGTTCCAGAAGACTTGTAGTCTGTTCAAATGCAACTCTGTAAGCCTATAGAAGCAGTAAGGCTTCACTTTACCTTAGCATGGCTGAACAGTCCTTTTGCAAATAACTGTATAAGACACAGCTAAATAGGTTTAACACATAAGAGGCAATAAGAGATCTGTAGAAACATGTAGATGTTTTCAAAAATCAGTTTCATTGAACATTCAGCTCAAAACAATTGCAGTAGAAAATGTTTCATCCACACAATTAACTGATTAATTCTAATCTCAATTACAAAAGGTGCTTCTGTAGTCTCACAATAAATATTAACTTTTTAATATTTGGTTTTAGAATAATCAGTTAAGTGTTAACATAGAATTTATCTAGTTCTTAGAATGGATATCCACACAAAACAAAATTCACACATTCCTGTGATCTGATTCAGTATAGAGCCGGTCTTCCAGATCATAAATCAAGAGCCAAAATGCACATGTGCATCATCCAGACTGACATTCTCCGTCGCATTAGTGGCAGTACCGAGAAGCATGCACGCTAGAAATGCATCTACGGAAAGATTAAAGTTGGGGCTTTTGAATGGGCCAAATCTCTGGTTCAGCGTCATCTAAAACTTTCAGACTTCACTTATATATGTGAATTTTCCTTCAGATCTTTTATAAACAAGAAACTTAATAAAGAACACATTTATCCTATCAGTTGTAAAATCATTACCTAAAAATTAATAATTTAGAACTTATTTAGAACTTGATCTCTGTATGGCTAAAAGCAAATGTATAGGTTTAAACCTCTAGAATCTAAACTTTTACACAAAACAGGATATCAAAACCCATTGCAGGGGAAAAAAACCCAAAGTTGCATAAAAAAAACAACAACATAAAAGCTTTCATCACTGCAGCATCAACCTGTAAAAGGTGGACACGGGCCAACAGCGCACATATGGTGCTTGCCCTTAAAACATTTGGCCTAACTGGCCAGCGCCCCACAAGTTCCCTTCAGAGAGAGAGACTTTTTATGGAACGCAGACTATAGGTTCAGCTTTTTCATTCTCCTGTGCTACACAAGTAGCAGTGTGCATGCTGAATTGGCAGCAATATAGTTGTTCACATGTGTGTGTGTGCGTGCATGTGTGTGTCATGGGTACTCCCGACTGAAGGTCTTAGCACAGATCCAGGACGGACTTGTTAATAACAGGGTTGGTCCAGTCGTTCCTCAGATCATCCAAGTGACTGTCAAAATCAATCAAGTTCTCATAGGAACGACCCACCAGCAGGGCAGATGTGATTTTCTGTGCTTCGCTCCAGTCCTCAAAGGAGTCACTGGAAAACAGTTTTTTGAAATATTACATATTCAAGCTTTAATACTGAAAATACAGGGTAATTACAACGTAATTACAGTGTAATGTACTTTGTCTAAATAATTCAAGTAAATGCGAGAACACTTGGAGTTGTAAGTATGCTGGAAGCTCTGAGTTAGCTGCACAAATAGTCTGCAGAGGAAGATAAAATCTCACACTAAAATAGCTCTTAACACTTACGCCGTTACTTCTCTGCTTTTCCACTTGTTTTCGTGGTGATCATAGATCAAGACGATGGGTTCGGAGCAGCTCATTGTTAACTTACTGCTGTCCACCTGCAGGAAAACACGCAAAATTTACTGTGAATTTAGGTGCAACTTTTAGGTGATAACAACAACTGCAACAGACCAGACCAGGGTCTAAGAAAAATGTCTTTCAGAAACAGTGTTATATATTTTATAATGCATCTAATTATTTCGCCCAGACACGTCTGAGACTGAGAGCTGCATGTCAGACTGACTGATTCAGTAAAAAGGCAGCTACTTCAATGACCTCCAACAAAACAATGCTTTGCAAAATATGGAAGAAAACTGTTCCTGCTAAAGGTGACTCAACAGAGTCTTGCTGGAGCACTTGCCAGTTGGACTACATATGACAGGTAGAGCAAACAGTGGCTAGAAATGACTGGTGTGGTTACATGGTGGAAAAGCAGCTGGCTAAAAAATCTCGACTCAACATGCAGCACCCTGGGTAGAAAGTATTTTGTTTTATTTAAGTTTTAGTATGTTTCAAAGTACTAATTCAAAATCTTTGTACAACCAAATGAGTGACAAAATTCCACAGAAACAATTCTAACTCATCGCACGCTCTCCCACTTACAGCTAATACGTTTAAACTATAAAATTACAACCCAGCTCTTGCTGAAGGTCAACAGGACTGAAACATTGTCATTTATTAAACGCGAGGATACTGTGCTTGCATTTGCTGTGTCACTGCTATTGCCTTACAATGCCGCTGCTGCTGCTGGCACCTTGTGGCGATAGATTCGCACTTCAAATTGGGCAGTGTGTCATCAG